CAAAAACTAATGATGTAATATATGGTGATTAACATAACGATAAAAAATTAAAAAAAAAATTTCAGATTGTCAGTTTACATCTGGAAAGAGAGCTGACATCCTTCCCCACAGTCATGGCAGCAATCACTTTCTTCATAGTCTTCTCCCTCTTTTCTTTCTTTTCATTGTTGAGTTCCACCTTAATTCAAAGATTTCTCCTTTTTTATTGATTGTGAAGTACTTGGAGTCAGTCGTGGTTTTGGATCTTTAATGTGCACCAGAGGCAAGGGGGAGTGGGGTGGAGGCAGCAGCCAGAGAACATGGCCCAAGTGGTGGTGTAATGGTTTCCTGCATGTAACTGAATATAAATATTTTTAAAGGTCTTGTTATATCTTGTCAATATCTTGCTTTCCAAAAGAATTCTCCCAACTTAACATGGCCACCACCACATGTGCAAATCCTCTTTCTCTTTACCCAAGATCTGTATGACTGTTTTTCCTTTATTTATGTGATAACAAAAATATATAATATTTAATCTCTTTAATTTGTTTCATTTGGACTGCTAGTAAAATTGAAGGTTTTTCCATATATTTGTGACCATTCTTTGCAGACTGTTTTTATCTTATTTACACATTGGGATATTAGTATTAATGATCTCAAGGATCTAATAATAAAATTGGTATTATTAGAGACTCTTAACTCTAGGAAACTGAGAGTTGCTGTGATGAGGAGGTTGGTGGGGGGGTGGGGTAACTGGGTGATGGACATTAAGGAGGGCTCTTAATGTAATGAGCACTGGGTGTTAAATGCAACTGATGAATCACCTAAATTCTACCTCTGAAACTAATAATACACTATATGTTAATTAAATTGAATTTAAATTAAAAATTTTAAGAAATAGAGCCATTTCAAATAAGACTACAAAGGAAGAAAGTAGACATTAACTGTATTAAAAATATAAAAAGGAGGGGCGCCTGGGTGGCTCAGTTGGTTAAGCAACTGCCTTCAGCTCCGGTCACGGTCCCAGGGTCCTGGGATCGAGCCCCGCATCGGGCTCCCTGCTCGGCGGGAAGCCTGCTTCTCCCTCTCCCACTCCCCCCGCTTGTGTTCCCTCTCTCGCTGTCTCTCTCTGTCAATTAAATAAATAAAATCTTTAAAAAAAAAAAATATAAAAAGGAAAATAAACTTTAGAAAGATGAGAACATCTCAGAACTAAAATGCAGACATAGTCACTTGAAACATAGAATATTAGAAAACTAATTGGACTAAAATTCTGTAGTGTTAGAATTATATCCTGTTCTGTCACTGGCTGACTTCTGGTAGGGCATATAGCTAAATATTTAACTTCTCTTGTTTGTAAAGGGAAAATATTATTGTCCTTTAATTACCTGAGGTGGGAGGCAGTAGTAGTAGTAATGGTGATAATGGCAGTAAAGATTTATTTTACCATAGATGATGTGGAAAAGGAAGAGAACATAAATTCCTGTGCTCAGAAACAAGACTGTGGCCAAATGAGCTGGGGATTGGTGCTTCCACAGGTACCACAAGAAGTACCAGGCATCCCCCTTTCCTCTCTGCCTCCCATTCCATCCCTCCAAACATAAAATGCAGTGTCATTTGTATAGACATAAATCTCTCTCAAGATCGAATTACATTCTAGGTAAATTTTTATGATTGAGATGGGGATTTTTAACATCAGATATGTTGGTCTAAATTTTATATGAGCCTTATAAAATCTCATTTAAAAAATCCTTTACAGAATACTGTTCTGTACATCAAAGAGACAACAGATAAAATAACTCATGAGATTTGGACCTGTGATTTCAGAGAGTTTACTCCAAAGCGGCTTTTCTGCCATCAAACTCTCTCCTCCGGCTAAGAACATACTTTAATACTGAAAAAACTATATGCAATTGAGTTAATAGCCAGGTGGTTAGTTCTATTCTAGCATATCATGAGAGTGAGTTGAACACCTATATCCTTAGCTTGTTTGAAAAGTGTGTTTGATGACAGATCTTTTTCTGTTCCCCAAAAGAAGTTCTCTTTCATCTTTAGCTGGAAAATTAAAGTGTCAACTTTATCCCCTAGGATGTACCCCTTAAAAAACTGGCTAGTACTTTTATATATTTTATGATCACTCACATAGGTCATAGACCGTAAACTGATTAATGACCTAGTCTCTTTGCTGATTACTAAACTAAAATTACTAAAACTAATTTTACCAAACATATATCATGTTAAAGCACCCCCACTTAAGAAAAAATGATGAGTTAATATAGATAGATTTTCTTTCCTTAAGTCCCCAGAGACTACATTTATATAGAAAGTAGCTACATACTTTCATCACTTTTTGAAGGAGTGTATTCACATGCAGTTGATATTCTTACTTAACTTTTCTTACCAAGGAAACATACATAATGATTTATGAAGTAGAAGTGTAATATTTTAAAATTGAGGGGCGCCTGGGTGGCTCAGATGGTTAAGCATTTGCCTTCGGCTCAGGTCGTGATCCCAGAGTCCTGGGTTCATGCCCCATATCCGGCTCCTGGCTCAGCGGGGAGCCTGCTTCTCCCTCTCCCTCTGCCTCTCTCCCTGCTCATGCTCTCTCTCTCTGTATCTCTGTGTCTCAAATGAATAAATAAAATCTTTTAAAAAATAAAATAAAAGAGAGGGAAGACTGTCTTTACAGAGAATAGTGTTTTCAAAATAATAGCTAGATTTTATATAATTCTTCTTACTCTATTCTGTTTTAAATTATTTAATAGTTTATATAATTTGATAAGCTAAAGCCATGTATTATCTAGTACCAAAAACAAAAAGGAAATGGTTTCTAAACTTTTAAATGTGTGATGTACATATATTTGTAAGATCTTTGAAATTTGACTAAAGTTTGATATCTTGGCCAGAGAGACTGTTAATAATGTAATGTCAACATGCTAAATTCATCCTATAAGATACTTCTTACTCAGCTGAAGTCCTTCATGGTCCACCCTGAGATTTGGCTTAATTGTTCTACATAGGAATATAGCTCAGGAAAGGAAGATCGGTCCTAAGTTAAAGAGACCATTTCAACATCTGGGAAGGAAAATGTGAGATGAGTATATCTGTATAGAAATAAAATGAATTATAAATGGCAAAAATGGAGTCAGTAATGGGTACTTTTTTCCTTCCAGGTTATGCATTAGACCCTTCATTAGATAATCATCAAGTGTCTACTAAATATATTGGTTCGGTAGAAGAAGCTGAAAAAAATCAAGGTAATTTATTCAAATTTATTTGAAATATTTTATGTCAAGTATATGTGTATATACACACATACTTATAATTACTGTCTTGCAGATTGATCTGAGGCAGTAGGAAAAACTAGTATTTTAGTAGACTGATTTTATTTTTAAGTTGAAACAAGTAATATAGAGCAGTATAGTTTAGGACTATTATAGTTTAGAGCTTGTTTTTTGCACTTATGAGGCATGCAACCTTGTAGGGAGGATGTTGGGACCTATTATTCTGGGTTGTTAATGAGTACTTGGCTGAGTGCCAACCATGTAGAACTCATTCAATAGATTATAATTAATGTGTAGCAAATGTTTACAATTTATCTTTCAACACTAATGTCAAGCTACATTTTTACAGAGCAGAACAAGTTTTATTATACATTGTCAATGGAGATTGTCTTAGGGTTGCTTTGAAGGCTGAGTTTGAATATGTTTTAGGATATGTTTGTGCTCATATTCATTTTGTACTTAGAAGATAAAGCGTTACACTCTAAATGCTAACTTGTCACAAAGCTCATCATTGGAATCTTACCCATAAAATATGCTCATTAGAAAAAGAATATGCTGCTTCTATGAGGATACTTCTGCTTAGCAGCTACAGGCCCTGTATCATCCAGCGACCTTCAGTGTATGAGCTACATTATTGTTAAAATAGAATTTTGACAAGCCGTTGTTGTAGCACACAACCTTATAAAGGACACTGATTTGAATTAATATAGGTAAGCTCTTTTTAAGTTAGACCTCTACAAGCCGTATCTTTTGTGTAGTTAGATTCTCCATTAACAGTTAAATTGTGATTATGACTCCCATAAACCTTTCTTTTTCCAATTTAGTGATGACACACAGCTTGCCACCTCCTACTGATCAGATCAGAATCTCAACCAGAAACATCCTCTTTCCTCTTTTCTTTTTAATCTAAGATTTATGATATTAGAGGTCAAATTTAGATTTAGATCACTTAGAAGAATACCACATTCTTGTGAAACCTTGCTTAGCATATATTGTTAAGTTACAAGTGAATCAAAGTTATTAATTACTTACTATGATTTAATTCAGTTTTTAAATGAAAAATTTTAATGTATTCTTGCTTTCAAAAGTAGCTTTATCTGGGCACCTAGGTGGCTCTCAGTTGAGCATCCCACTTTTGATTTCGGCTCAGGTCATGATCTCAGGGTCATGAGATCAAGACCTGTGTCGGGTTCCGTGCTGAGTGTGGAGCGTGTTTGAGATTCTCTCTCTTCCTCTCCCTCTGTCCCTACCCACCACATGCACACTCTCTCTCTATTTATTAAAAAAAAAAAAAAAAGGCTTTATCATTATTTAGTAAGGTTAATTTGCTGGATTCCTTTCAAAAAGTGGTAAAATCCACTGATATATGTCCTTGATTGATTAAAAGGATTGTGTACCTTGTAGGATTACATAGCCTGGTCTTTTCTTTAAGTATATTAGGACTTGCAAAATATTGCAGTAGTTGAAAGCTTCTCTTCCCAGAAGATTGAGTTTCTTTTTGTATGGTATGAGTTGGTATACCTGGCAGATTCATGTAGATTTTATTTTGTGTTCTTTAATAAATCTTTGGTCACTTGAACAATCACTTTTCTTTAAACATATAAAGTAAAAATTATATATATGCTACTGTTTCTTTAGAAAATATCCATATTTGTGATCTCTGTTTGTTTTTTAATGTAGGTTTAACTGTGTTTGAAACTGGTCAGAAAAAGATAGAAAAGAGGAAAAAGTTCAAAGAAAATGATGCATCTAATATTGATGGTTTCCTGGGACCGTGGGCAAAATATGTGGATGAAAAAGATGTAGCCAAACCCTCAGAAGTAAGTTTTGATGTTTTTCATTGCCAATTCAGGTAGATGCTGTGTGTCTGTGAAGGATATCTATAATAATAAACTTGAGATTTCCTTAGAGAACCAAATGATGACTCATCAATATTTCTCTGCCATGGTTGATTGAGAAAATAAAGTAAGATTTTTAAATTTTTCTTGGGAAAATAAAATAATAAAATAAATTTTTCTTGGGAATATTTTTAATTCATCCTCTTCTGATTTATTTTCTTCCATATTTTTAATTAAAATGCAATATTGGACAATTTTAATAAAATTTTTAAATTTCATAAAAATTGATAATGCTATTAAGCTATGGTGGCAGCTGCTCTTGATACCAGATACTCAGATAGTAACCACAGAATCAGCCTCTCTGTAATTTTAGAATTGATGGTGGGTTTTATTTGTAAATTAACTTGTTTAAAAATTTTACCAAATAATCTATATTTAAAAAAAAATACTATGAAGTTCTATAAAGTAAAACCATAGCACCCTACCTGTCCTTCTCCATCTCCTAATCCTAATATCTCTGTGAGCCAGTGACTGACTGTCCTAGGTCTTAGGGGTATAGCAGTGAACAAGATCAAGAAAATCCTGTTCTCATGAAGCTTATATTCTAGCTGTATCTTTGATCCATGTATGTCAGTCATACACATGTGCTGCTTTTTATTTACATTAGACATTGTTGACTTCTTTTTATTATAATAGAGATTTACTACTATCCCACCTTCCTTCCTCTGCTCCTCCCATAAAAGTTGTGTCAAAAATCTGTAGTCATTGCTTATATCCTCATGACTTAGGAAAATCTGTTTACTAGAGAACAACATTATGTATGCAAATTGAGTTTCCAAATACTAGATTTTTTAACCACTTTGTCTTTTTGTTTAAATAATTAGCATAATACAATAAATTTGTTTCTAGGTGTTCCAAAAAGATGGGTTTTGTATGAAATGAGTTTAAAAGTATTAACTAGTACCCATTATGTGTTAATGTCATTTTGTAATCTGTCAAAGAGTTGAGACTGTTACCCAGGAGACATACTTACAGCTCTTGCTTCACCCAAAATTGGACCTCATTATAAAGTATTTACAACCAGCTTTGGGCACAGTGGAGTTCCAAAACATCCATTTTAAAGTTCACTCCTTAATTTCCTTAGGAAGAACAAAAAGAATTGGATGAAATCACAGCGAAGAGGCAGAAAAAAGGCAAACAGGAAGAAGAGAAGCCTGGGGAGGAGAAGACAATCTTACATGGTAATATATTTTTTATGCCTCTTCATTTTTGTGATAAATTTTCAGATATTCACTCTGTTCTCTGTTCATGTAGTGTCAATTGTCTTTACTAATCAGCTGGTGTACTTCACTGTATTAAGAATAATTGTATTTCACTATTTGCATCTCAAAAAAATTACAGCAGACTCTTCCATATTCTAATAAAGGAGAAAAAATAGCATGATTAATGATTGCCACAGATGATTCTTTGAAGTACTAGTGGATTTTTAAAAATAGTAGATAAAGAAGAAATCTGAATTGTCCATAATCTGTTGTTTCCTAACAGACTCTTTCCCTAGTCATTTATCCTTTTGTTTTTAACCCAAGTCAGATATTCTCCAGATATCCACATAATTCATAACTATTAGTAAATTATATATATACTTTAAAAGAAAAACTTTGTTTTTTGTGTGAATAGACTGGAGATTAAGATTCTCATATTAATTTTGACATGTGGAAGGAAATGCATATTCAGGAAATGTCTTCCAAAATAAATTATAAATAATAATAATATAATACTAATATAATATTAATAATTAGTTATATTTGGAAAATTATGTAGTTATTATCAAACCATAAAGAATAATTTAGTACCGATGTATTGATTATTCTAATGTTAGATCACATATCAAATATTTAGGTTTGATGAGGCCGTATTTGGTTTCTCAAACTCCAGCTTTCTTTTCAAGGACACTATTTAATGCTGTGGTGCTTGCTGCTTGCAGCCATAATAAAAATAACAGCCGACATCTATTGAGGACTTACTTTGTGCCAGGCAAGTTACTAAATGCTTTATATACACTATGTCATTTAAGTCCCACAAGGGACTTCACTGCAAACTTTGTGTTGAAAGTGTCAAAGAGAATGGAAAAGGAACCTGGACGGGCGTAAAAGAGGAAGGCAGGGAAAAAGGATAGTTGATATTTTTGCTTTAACTTCTTTTCTATCCGGTTTTGCTTCTGGGTTTTTGCTGGTGACTCAGAAGGCCCAAGTATTTTCTTTTCTTCCCTCGCTGTAATTATGTTACGGTGAAGTCTTTTTTATATATCATTAAAATGTGTAACTAAGTAAAAGAAGTATAGATTTTATTTAAAGGTCTGGTATTCTCTGGGTAGTTAGAAATTCCAAAATACTACCTCTAATTGTAAATAAGAGCAGTGATTTCAAGCAGCTAGATTTTAGCTGACTCTTGGTCTTAACTTCATCAGAGTGTTATTACCTCAACCTTAATAAGGAACAATATCCATATGAGTAAATCGTTATCATTAAGGATATAGATCTTATGACTGTAGCTTGTATTTGTTCACTGCTTTCCTTTGTCTTCTTGTTTTAGTTAAAGAAATGTATGACTACCAAGGGAGATCCTATCTTCACATACCTCAGGATGTTGGTGTTAATCTTCGGTCCACTGTGCCACCTGAGAAGTGTTACCTTCCCAAAAAACAAATTCATGTGTGGTCTGGACATACAAAGGTAAGCAGATTAGTCGAGGGATTGACCATGACATAACATTCATAATTTGGTGTCTGGTAGCCCAAGCCTTTCCCCACAAATTCCTGCCACAATCTACTTTTTCTGGGCTAACATGTCAGTGAGTAATGGATTGGTAGTAGCACCAAAACCTCAGTAATTTTGCCTTAGCTCTTGGGATTATCATGCTTAAGAGACGATTAGATGGTTTCTGGTTTATAAACTATGGTCATATTGAAACTAATGCAGAGGGGCGCCTGGGTGGCTCAGTCGTTAAGCGTCTGCCTTCGGCTCAGGTCATGATCCCGAGTTCCTAGGATCAAGCCCCGCATCGGGCTCCCTGCTCCACGGGAAGCCTGCTTCTCCCTCTCTCACTCCCCCTGCTTGTGTTCCTGCTCTCGCTGTGTCTCTCTCTGTCAAATAAATAAAATCTAAAAAAAAAAACACTAATGCAGAGACAAGATACCTGAAACTTTTGATGTTGATACTCCTTGTCATCTGCACTATTCCAGCTGATAATTCCCAGCTCTTAGCAAAGAGCAAAGGAACTGAAAAAAGAAGGAAGAGGAGAGAGAGCATTAGCAACTTGACTAAGAATTCCCTTGGGTGAGAAAGTCAATATTAAAGGTTAAAAAACATATCTTCCAAAAGCTTAGTGTCAATAAAGGCTGTTCTTGGAATACTAACGAAGGTTATTCTGGGGCATGATTTTTGGAATGAAGAAAAACAATAAATTAGATTGCTTAAAAATATACTGTCCTTTCCTTATGTTTCATTTTAGCTGATGGTAGAATGTTTCTGATTGATAACTGTAATACCTTTTTATAGGGCGTCAGTGCCGTCAGATTATTTCCTCTCTCTGGCCATTTATTGCTGTCTTGTTCCATGGACTGTAAAATTAAGGTGAGTTTTCAGTAACAGAGTAGGAATGCTGCCAAGCTAGTGCTTTGGTCAAGTCTGTTTGGTTAATTATAAATAAATTTGGGTTTGTTAGCCAATTAGAGGCTAATTATTAGGCCCCATGAATGCAGCCACTTATGAACTCCTTCCAAACATGTTGATTCAAATATGGCTCTATGGTCCAATTGGCTAGGCTCTTTTGTAAGCTAGATAACTGAGTAGAACGTAATCAGTCACTTTGGTTTTAGTTACATAAATATTTAATCACTAATAATGCATTTTTTTTAGAGGTTTTGGATATGTAACTAAGTTCATTTGTTCCTCAGAACCATATGAGGTAGAGAGGACATAGGATAGAAATCCCATTTTAGAAAGTAAACAGTGCAATTCACCCTTTTTCTTTATAAATGCAAGTAGATACCAAGTAGCAGAAATGCTCCCAGCCTCTTCTCTCAGTTTTTATATTATAGTCTTAGGAAGCTCCGCCTTAAGCTAAATTTCAGCTACAGAGTATGTGGGAAAAAAACTCAGTTGCAGCTGCATGTCAGCTTGAACATGGGAAAAGCCTTTTTAAAAAATCTTAAATCTGAAAGAATAGTTATCTTTTTTTGTGTCGTCTGTGTCTAGATTGTTATGATGGTCAAGAAATACCAACTCTGTAATACTCTTGAAGCTTGGAAAGTTCAGTCGTTAAAATTTTACTCTTTGTAAACAATTCATGGGTATTATATGAAGGTAGCTTTTCTTGATGAGAGCAATCATTTAGGCATTTGTCTCTACTCAGTAGCTTAAAATCACAGGCCAACAGTTTGGAGTAAAAACCTTTATTTCCTTTAGCTTTGATTTCATACAAGCTATGTTCGTTGAGATTAAGGTCTTTTGACCAATTAAAAAAGCATAGAGTTCAATTTTGTTCACATACATAAACATTTATTAGGTACCTATTACGTGCAAGGGGCTGAGCCTAAAAATTTATCAAGGCCTTGTCCCTGCCCTCAGGGTAATCATTTCATTATGATGTAAATGATGGTTATAGAGTCAGGTGGAAAGTGTTCTGGTTTCTAAGAGGAAGCATCCTTCAGCAGGAAGGTAACTAAGTAAAGTGTGAGGGAGGGGTGTGTAGGTAGTGGAGTATGTCTGAAATGAGTGAATAGAATGGATAGGCATGGCGTGTGCTGAACACTACGAGTTTTTGGTTGCTGGAGTCTCAAATCTGAGAGATACAGAATGGCGACAGTCATCGGCAAAGGATCAGGTGCTAGAGGTCCTTGCTTGGTATGCTTTGGGAACTGAAACTTAATCCTATTGGCACTGGGTGTCCAGGAAGTGCTATCTCTTTTAGAACACTAGTAACATTATTGAGGATTAGATTTGAGGCAGGCAAGAGTAAAGGTAGTTTTAAGGACACCTGGTTTGGCTGTCGGTTAAGCGTCTGCCTTCAGCTCAGGGGTCATGATCTCAGGGTTCTGGGATCGAGTCCCTCATCGGGCTCCCTGCTCAGCGGGGAGCCTGCTTCTCCCTCTGTCTGCTGCTCCCCCTGCTTGTGCTCGCGATCTCTTTCTCTCTCTCTCTGACAAATAAATAAATAAAATCTGAAAGGAAGAAAGAAGGTAGTTTTGAAGCTATTGTATTAATTAGGTGTGATGAGAATTATTAGCCTATTACATTTTAGTCTAGATCATCATTTTCATATAGCTTCTATAATATTTTGTTACTTCAGAAAGTTAAAAAAAATTCTTCTGTACCAAAATGTTATAAACATGGCAGTTTCAATAACCTTTAGTTCTTCTGAAAGCAGCTCATAATATTATATAAGTAAAAACTTTTCATCATAGAAAATATATCAAAAATAGAAAAGAATAAGAAGAAAGTGAAAATAACTTGTTTTAGCTCCATCTAAGTTCTCTTGATATTTTGGTGTATCTTTCAGTATCAGATTTCATATTTGTGTGTGTGTGTGTGTAGTCCAAATGGTACAACACAGACTAGCAGCGCCAAGCATCATGTTCATTGATGTATAATTCCTTTGGTTAAATCCCCAGTACCCGCAGATATGCACACACATAGCTGGCATATGGTTGTTGTTCTTGATTGAAACTTGTCATTTTATCAAAGTCTTGTATTCAATTTAATATTTCTATGTGTTTTTTTTCCCAGCTATGGGAGGTTTACGGAGACAGACGCTGTCTGCGAACATTTATTGGTAATACTTCTTTTCTCTGTCTATAAATCTGTTTGGAAAGACTTTTTAAACTACATCATTGACAGTAATATTACTACACTGATTATGAAGGAAAGTCTTCAAAGACTCGAACTGAGTCTTGAAGAGGGAGTGAGTCCTCCCACATAGACAGAAAAGGGAACTGGGAAAGAGAGAACAGCAAAAGCAAAATTGGTTTGAGAAAGCATGCTGCTTTGGGGCAGCCAGGTATATTTCAGAATTGCCAGGGAGGGGATATGGTGAGAGATGACAAGAGGAAAAAGCAGTATAACCAGGGGCAGAGCATGAAGGACCTTATGTGCCATCAGTGAGGAGTGTAGAATCTATCCAGAGGGCCTTGGAAAGCCAACCATTAAACAGCTCTTGCAGGAAATTAACTCAATCAGATCTGAAGCTTACAGGGATCCTAGTGGCAGTATGGAAGATGCTCTGGTAGGGGGCAGGCCTGCAGGCAGGGAAATGAATGACAGGGTTGTTTCATCGGTCTAGATTAGAGATGATGAGAGCCTGGACTAAAGCAGCAGATAGAGAGGAAAGGAACAATCAAGAGTTAAAATCAGTGGGACTGAGTCACTGGATGCGAGTGATAAGACTGAAGCAGAAATCTAGGGTGACTCCCAGCCAGCTGGCTGAACGGTGGTACCATTTGCCAAGAGAGGGAACATAAGAGGATGATGAGGTGTCACTTGTTAAATTTGAGCTGCCTTTGGGATATCAAGACGAAAATGTCCAGTAAGCAATTAGCCAGGTGTTGAGCTTTGAAAAGAGGTTCCGAATAGGCAGCTAAAGCATATGAAAGAATAAAATTGAGCGAACTCCTTGAAAGAGAAAACAAGGCCAAAAAGAGAACAGCTTTGTGGCAAACTAGCCTTTTTGGTAGAATATATTTACTGTCTTTGTGAGATTTCGTGTGAAGTCTGGTTACATTTCCAAATTTAACTGTACATTATTGAAACACTATTTGTGTGAACCTTAGTGGCTCTGTTTTTAGATTCAAGTGGGAGTCCGTTCTGCAGCGCTTTGTTAGGATTTTAGGGCCTTGTTAAACAAATAAATAGCCCAAGGTACCATAGCATCCTACAGGAAGACTCTCCACAGCAGACGGGAACAAGATGCCTCTTGTACCCGTAGTGGACTTGGTCTCCATCTGTCTCCCCTGCACCGACAGGCAGTTTTTCAGTGGGAAACAAAATTACCAGTTTTGGAAGATGGGACTCTTGCTGTAGAAAAGAATGCCTAATTACTGTGGCACATAGCCTGATTCGAGTTCACTGGTGATGGCCGTCCAGCGCTGCCGTGTGTGGTTGATGATTTGTGCAATGCATGTTCTGTCAGTCTTGGTCTTGATGGGGTGGTAGAAAAAAGGAAGGTTTCTGCTTTCATTTAGCCACATTTTATTTGTCCCTACAACTTTCAAAAGAGTGGATTGGTCTGGCAGACTGATTTCTAAGCAAAGCACCTTAAAGTTAATTTATTGTCAAAATGCTATTTTAAAACAAAATAGAAGTTAATGTTAGTTTCCAAAAGGTTAAGTCTCAGATTCTGAAGTCACTTCTCTGAAACTTGGTAATGTGATCACAGAAGTCTGCAGGTATTGAAGAAGAGCTATGATTTCATGAGCTTTAGGGTAAAGTCACTTTGTTTCACTTAGTGAGTAATCTGGAGAATGAACCTCCCAAATGTCTCTAGGCCCTCCTCTTTCATTGGCAATAATTGGTCTGTTATGTTTCCTTAAATTCTTGGCTGCTTAGTCAATTATGTATATTGCATATTAAAAGATTTCTATGACAAACTCAAAAAAAACGTTAGCTCTTTTATCTTGGTTCTTACCTAAATGTTATGCATCAGAAACACCTAGGGAGCTATCTGAAGGGGGAATAAAAAAAACTGCCTACGTTCCCAAGCCCACACCTAACATATTCTGCGTCAGTAAGTCAGGGGATAGGATTCCAGAGATTCTGACTCACAGGGTGGCTTGAAAATGCTGTTTCTCTTATGGTGTTTGTGTTTTAAGAGAAGATACTTCACCTCACCTCCATTTCTATTGTCCCTGCCTTAGGCCACAGCAAAGCCGTTAGGGACATCTGCTTTAATACTGCAGGAACGCAGTTCCTCAGCGCAGCTTATGACAGGTACCTTAAGCTCTGGGACACTGAGACAGGTAAGAGCTCACTTATACTAATGCCAATACATATTTATCTTATAAATTAGCATTTATAAACAGTGCAACATTGAGTAGTCTTCTGTGGCAAAATGGTGCCTTCTGTAACTGCTGATTCTCATATCCTCCACTGTCAGCTAATATAAAATGTTTGTAGAGTTCAAACTCAGCTACATAAGTAGCTCTTTTACTCTGAAACTTTGTTTCCATTAAATACAATTTATAAAGCAAACATCCTGATAGACAAGCAAATTTGAAATCTTCCATAGACTACTTAATTGATCTTTTTGTTCCCCTCTACCACCAAGCACGCTGCATTGCACGTAATAGAAGCACAATAAATGTCTGATGAACAAAATTAAATTTAATTGCCCACATTGATTAAAAAGTAAGTCTGTTTACAGACCCATGGGTCAGGTGGTTTTATATATTCACAGACATTAATTGTATTAGTACATTGTGGCTAGTATAATTTTGTATAGTTAGAGAACCATCGTTCATCTCACTGAGTTTTAAGGGTAAAGATAATAGCTAATATTTATTGAACACTTACTGTTTACCAGGCATTGTGCTGTGCACTTGTATCCAGCATCACATCCAATTCTTAAAATATCCCTATAATTACTGTTGTTATTTTAGATGAAGAAATTGAGGCTTAACGGGGGAGCTTTTCCAGACCCACACAGCTAATAAGTGGCTGAACTGATTTAAACCAAGGTCTCTCAAATGCCAGAGCCCCTACTCTTACCCCACAGTGGTTCTCAACTCTGGCTACACATCATAATCACTTTATTCTGCAATTGATACAGATTTACTTTTGAAAAAAATATTTTTAATCATAAAGAATCTGTGAAAAGGAACAATATAGTTTATAGTAAAGAACAAGCAGGCTGCCCTTCCCCAAAATGTATTAAGCAAATGATCTCAAGATGTTAATCCCCGGGCTGTCTTTGAAGTGATCAAATTTCTTTTCCCTACTTTAACTTGAGTCTTTGGTTTTAGGACAGTGTATATCAAGATTTACAAACCGAAAAGTGCCCTATTGTGTCAAATTTAATCCCGATGAAGATAAGCAAAATCTCTTTGTAGCTGGTATGTCTGATAAAAAGATTGTGCAGGTAAGTCTTTTTTACAGTATTCTTAGTAAGATCCCTATAGTTTATGTTGTATTAGGGGATGGAATAAGGAATATTAACTTGTTTAATGCTTGCTGCTTTTAGGGACTGCTAAGGGTCTATTTTTAGTAGAAAACAGTCGTTATGTTAGAGATCTTTTTTCTTCACTTTCCATAGTTCTGATCTTCATTTTCATATCTGCTCCACTTCTGTCTTTACCTTTTCTCTTGTTTGATATACAGTGGGACATTCGAAGTGGAGAAATTGTGCAGGAGTATGACCGGCATTTGGGAGCTGTCAACACCATTGTTTTTGTGGATGAGAATAGGAGATTTGTGAGCACATCTGATGATAAGAGCCTAAGAGTTTGGGAATGGTGAGTTTCTATCAGTAGAAGATCTGATTTATATAATTATAACAAGCAATTTAAAACTTTGTAGCCAAAGCAAAGCCTGATAATATGCAACCATTTGAATATTTTCACAACTATGATCTCTGGCTTGCCAACAAAGCTGCTTTAAACATTTAAGTACCCAGAATATGGAAATAAAAATTTAGACATGCTACATCTCGTAGTCTATGGGCAGTCTATCTAAAGGTTATATATTTTAAGGCATTTTTCTTGCATTGGTGAAAAAGTTATATTGTGTTGCCTTACATTTGTTTATTAGGTACTTTATTTGTCTTTGCAAAATGACTGATGAGATGCAGGGCCCACAAATGTATAGACTCTATTATTTACTGTTAGGATTGAACATTAGATCCTGGCCTCAGAGTCAACCGAAAGAAAGAAAAAATATTTTAAAATCTTTTAAGTTTTTAAATGTCTACATTATGATTATTCAGTACTGAAATTGGCCCCATGCCATCACCCATTGTGTCCTGCCATTCATAATGCATAATGGTAGAAAACAAATGTTTTATTTATAGAGTATGTTGGTAATTTTGCTTTCCTTGAGAGAGGAAAAAAAGCTTTTCTAAAGTCAAGAAATACTAAAGCTAGTTTCACTAAGTGTCATAGATCATGTTTTATCATTTATTTACAAAGAAATGCATAATAGTCTTTTTGTTCAAAGGAATGTTAGGATGGAGGCCAGCTCATTTTAATAGTCAGTTATGAAGCACAGCTCAGCCGTGGTTACAGCCTTGCAGGGCCTAGAAAGTGTGACTTCCCACCCTGGAAGTTGTTCTGCTGTAAGAAGTGGGAAGCTTTGCACTACAGCCAGTAGTTTGCTCCTGAAACTGAGTCCCTTTGAGGAGCTGAGCAGGTCCCTAACCATCGTCAGGGAAATTTGGGTAACTGAAGGTTCCATGTAATTTAACTGCAGTTTCTCCCACCCCTTCAAATTGCCCCCATTGATGGAGAGCCGACTGTATACTTTATGTATAGTTTTAATATCCTTAAAGTCCGTGCTTTGAGACTGTCTTATAACTGAGATCTTTCTTACTTCAGAAATGATATTACATGCAGAGAATCTGATACAGACATCAAGTTTTATATGAGTCACCTTAGACTACTTACACGAGACTCTGAAGATAGACATATACATGTACTTGTTTTGTTTATATACTTTAGCAGTTTGATTATACTTAAACTTTCAGATGTTTCTATCTTCGGATGATATTTCAGCTCCATTTTAAAATGTGGAGTGGTATAAACGAAATTGGTAAATATTTAAATGAAGCACCAATTACAGGGCTCTAAGAACACTTGTGTGTGCTTTCTAAATTAGAGTATTGGTCAGCAAAATATTTTGATTAAATTAAGGGGTAATGTCAGCCTGTTTGTTGTTTTCCCTCTTCGGAGCTTAAGAAATACTCCTAAGAGTCATAGTAATGTGTCATTATAAATGATGACATCCTTTAGACTTCATTTACTATTGGAACCTTCTTCACTGATCCTCTCGTGAGGGTCTGTGCCTCTTCTCCATGTTCCCACACAACGCTTTGCTTCTCACAGTTTTGGGGTTTTTTTTAAGATTTTATTTATTCATTTGAGACACAGAGATAGAGAGTGCATGAGCAGGGAGAGAGGCAGAGGGAGAGGGAGAGGCAGGCTCCCTGCCGAGCCAGGAGCCCAGTGTGGGGCTCGATCCCAGGACCCCGGGATCACGACCTGAGCCAAAGGCAGACGCTTAACCATCTGAGCCACACAGGCACCCCTGCTTCTCACAGTTTTTTAGTGCTTGCACATTTGTTCCTGTGTCAGCTGTGCTCACAGTGTGTCCCCAGCACCAGCACAGTGCCTGGCACATCGTATGTGCTAAATATCTAAAGAAGTTAATTACTGTCATAATTATTAATGATGCTACATCTGTTGAGCCCTGTCTGTGTGCCAAGCATGCTAAGCATTTTATGTGAACTGATTTAATGTGCCAAAGTAGTCTTATGAGATAGATGTATTTGCTATCCCTGTTTTATAGATGAGGAAACTAATGTAGCTTAAGTAATTTACCCAAGATTCCATGAGACATGAAAAGCCAGAATTCAAACTTGTATTAAGCTGATTATAAAGCTTGAGATTTTTTCCAGCTTTATTGAGGTATAACTGACAAATAAATATATTTGAAGTGTATAACATAATGGTTTGATATATGTATACATTGTGAAAGGATTCTCACTGAGTTAGCCCATCTGCCACTTTAGATATTTACCTTATTTGTTTGGTAAGAACATTTAGGTTCTACTGTCTTAGCAAATTGCAGTTACACAATATGCTATTTTAAGTATAGTCACCATGTCATACGTGAGATCCTCAGACCTTATTCATCTTACAGATAAGAGTTTGTACCCTTTTACCAGTCTCACATAGTTCCCCACCCCAACCTGAGCCACTGGCAGCCACCAATCTACTCTGTTTCTATGAGTCTGAGGTTTTTTTTTTTGAGTGCACATATAAGTGATACTATGCAGTATCTGTCTTTCTCTGTCTGGCTTATTTCACTTAGCATAATGCTGTCTAGGTTCATCATGTTGTTGCACATGGCGGCATTCCCTTTTTTTAAGGCTGAATAATACTCTATTATATATGGAAATACCACATTTTCTTTATCCATTCTTTCACACTGAGACTGTTTCCATACCTTGGGTATTGTGAATAATGCTACATTAAACATGGGAGTACAACTATCTCTTCAGCATAGTGATGTCATTTCCTTTGGATATATACCCGGAAATAGGATTGATGGATCATATGGTAGTGCTGTTTTAAATTTCTTGAGGAATCTCCATACTGTTTTCCATAGTAGCTACATGTACCAGTTTACATTCCCACCATCAGTGTATGAGAGATCCCTTTCCTGCACATCCTTACCAGCATTTATCTCTTACCTTTTTGGTAATAGTCATCCAGTGTGTGAGGTGCTGTCTCACTGTGGTTTTGATTTGCATTTCCCTGATGCTCAGTGATGCTGAGTGCCTTCCTGTACCTGTCGGCCCTTTGTCTGTCTTCTGTGGGAAAATGTCTGTTCAGGTCTCTGCCCATTTTTTAACTGGGTAACTTGGCTTTTTGATAATAGTTGTATGAGTTCCTTATATATTTTGGATATTGACCTTGTCAGATATGTGGTTTGCAATTATTTTCTGCCATTCCTTAGGTTGCCTTTGCATTTTGTTGATGGTTTCCTTTACTGTACAGAAGCTTTTTACTTTGAGGTACTCCCACTTATTTATTCCAACTTCCAGGAGCTTATCTCCTGTGTTTTCTTCCAGGAGTTTCAGGTCTTACGTTCAAGTCTTCAATCCATTTTGAGTTGATTTCTGTGTATGGTATAAGGTAGGGGTCCAATTTCATTCTTTTGCATGTGAATATCAAGTTTTCCCAACACCATTTAGTGAAGAGACTATCCATCCTTTCTCCACTGTATATTCTTGGTTCCTTTGTTGAAAATTAATTGATTATATATGCATGGGTTTATATCTGGGTTCTCTGTTCTGTTCCATTTGATCTGTGTATCTGTTTTTATACCAATACCATACTGTTTTGATTACTATAACTTTTATTTAATTATAGTTAAAATCAGGAAGCTTGATGCCTCCAGCTTTGTTCTTTTTCAGGATTGCTTTGGAGTCTTTTGGGGTTCCATACAAATTTAAGAATTGTTCTGATTCTGTCAAATATGCCATTGGAATTTTGGTAGATATGAATTGGATCTGTAGATTGCTTTGGGCATTTTGAACATTTTACAATATTAATTCTGTGTACAGATCTTTCACCTTGGTTAAATTTATTCCTAAATAATTTCTTGTTTTTTGATGCTATTATAAGTGGGATTGTTTTCTTAATTTCTCTTTCCAGTAGTTGCTAGTATCTAGAAATGCAACTGATTTTTTAATATTGAGTTTGTATCCTGCAACTTCACTGAATCATTTATTAGTTCTAACAGTTTTTTTTGTGAAGTCATTAGGGTTTTCTATATGAAATATTATGTCATTTGCAAACAGAGACAGTTTTACTTCTTTTTTATTTGGATACCTTTTCTTCTGGCCTGATTGCTCTGGCTAGGACTCTCAATACTATATTGAATAAAAGTGGTTAGAGCAGACACACTTCCTGATCTTAGAGTAAAAGCTTTCAGCCATTTACAATTAAGTATGATGTTGGCTGTGGACTTGTCACACATGACTGTGTTCCCCATATACCCAGTTTATTGAGGCTTTTTATCATGAAAGAATATTGAATAGTGTCCTTTCTTTTGCATTTATTGAGATTATCATATGATTTTTATCCTTCCTTTTTGTATTTCATTGATTGATTTGCATATGTTGAACCATCCTTGCATCCCAGGGATAAATCCCACTTGATCATGGTATATGATTCCTCTAACGTACTGTTGAATTCAGTTTGCTAAAATTTTACTGAGTATTTTTGCATCTATATTCATCAGGGATGTTGGCCAATAATTTTCTTGTAGTTTCCTTGTCTCGCTTTGGTATCAGGGTAATATTGGCCTTATAAAATGAGTTTGGAAGTGTTCCCTTCTCTTCTATTTTTTTGGAAGAGTTTGAGAAGGATTAATATTAATTCTTCTTTAAACGTTTGGTGTAACTCACCAGGGAAGCCATCTGGTCCTGGACTTTTTTTGTTAAGAGGTTTTTGATTACTGTTTCAGTCTTCTTAGTCATTATTGGTCTGTTCAGATTTTCTATTTCTTCATGAGTCCGTCTTGGTAAGTTGCATGTTTCTAGGAATTTATTCATTTCTTCTAGGTTTTCTAATTTGTTGGTATATAATTGTTCATAGTAGTTTCTTGTGATCCTTAGTGCTTCTATATCATCAGTTGTTATGTCTCTTTCATTTCTGTTTTTATTTGAGTTTTTTTTTCTTAGTTTAGCTAAATGTTTGTCAATTTTCTTTTTCAAAAAAACCAGCTCTTACTTTCAATTGATCTTTTCTATTATCTCTTTAGTCTCTATTTCTTGTGTTTCCTCTTTGATTTTGTATTTTCTTCCTTCTGCTAACTTGGGTCTTAGATTGTTCTTCTTTTCCTAGTTCTTCAAAGTGTAAAGTTAGGTTGTTATATTTGAGATTCTTTTTCCTTAATGTAGGTGTTTATCAGTATAAACTTCCCTCTGGCTTTTGCTGATCCCATAAGTTTTGGTATGTTGTATTTCTATTTTCATTTGTCTCAAGATAGGTTTTGATTTCCCTTTTGTTTTCATCTTTGACCCATGTCTTGTTTAGTAGCATGTTGTTAATCTCCACGTACTTGTACATTTTCCAGTTTTCTTGTAATTGATTTCCAGTTTCATACGTTTGTGGTCAGAAAAGATGCCTGATATGATTTCAGTCTTCTTAAAAATATTAAGACTGTCTTGTGGCATAATATATGATCTATCCTGGAGAATATTTCGTGTGCACTTGAGAAGAATGTGTATTCTGCTGCCATTTGGTGGAATGGTCTATATACGTCAGTTAGGACCATTTGGTCTAATGTGTCATTTAAGTGCAATGTTTCCTTATTGATTTTTGTCTGGATGACCTATCTATTGTTGACAATGGAGTATGGAAGTCCCTTGCTATTATTGTATTGCTTGCTATCTATTTTCTCCCTTCAGATCTGTTAACATTTGCTTTATGTATTTAGGTGCTCTGATGTTGGGTATATAAATCCTTCTATTTGTTATATCTTCTTAATGAATTGACCTCTTTATCATTATATGATGACCTTGTCTCTTATTGCAGTTTTTGGCTTAAAGTCTATTTTGTTTGATACAAGTATAGCAGCTACCCCTGCTTTCTTTTAGTTTCCATTTTCATGGGATATGTTTTCCATCCTTTCACTCTCAGTCTGTGTGTGTTCTTAAAACTGAAGTGAGTCTCTTATACACAGTATATAGTTGGGTCTTGTTTTGTTGGTTTTTTTTTTTAATCCATTCAACTAACTTGTGTCTTTTGTAAATTTAGTCCATTTACATTTGAGGTAATTATTGAGAGGTCTGGACTTTTACTAGTGCCATTTTGTTCATTGTTTTCTGGTTATTTATAGTTCCTTTGTTCCTTTCTTTCTTCCTCTTCCTTTGTGATTTGATGATTTTCTATAGTAGTATGTTTTGATTTTTCTGTTTCTCTTTCGTGTCTCGATAGATTTTTGCTTTGTGGATACCATGAGGCTTACATAAAACATGCAGAACTTGAATTCTTATTCATATGGCTAGATAGTTAGATGAATGAAGGGTCTGGTGGGGAAAGAAGATAACTTGGATCCAGTTTGATTAGTCAGAAGGAAACGTGACGATCAGTCTTGCTACAAAGACAAGTAGGAAACAAAACCAACTCGGGATCCCTGGAGCTATCCTTTACCACATACAACCATCCCTGAAAGCAATTACTAGTGTTACTGGCAGCTTGCAGAAAGGGAGGCCCTGACCACCTCAAAGTGAAAACTGACCCCAGCAATGGGAAAATTCTTATTACCAGGACCTTCAGACAGGTGGTGTTTGCCAAACTTTTACACCTTGTGCCTGCTAAGAGTAGCACAATGATAAAAGAAAACAAACTAAAGGAAACTTGGTTTTCTTAAACAATACTAGATTATTAAGACTAGTGGACAGTTGTAAAGGAGAATAAGAGATTATAATTAGATACTGGACAGCCTATGGTTATGCTGATTGGCTAAATTCATGAGATGTCATAGACATGTTTTCTCCCAAAGGTATTTATTATGTTAAAATATTTTTAGAAGAAAATTTGACAGATGTTGATCCTGTTTATCTTTTATCTTTAAAATTTCATAGACTTTTATTCAAGTTTTTTTCAGTGATTTCATTTCCAGACTGAAGATTATGTGTAAGATGTAAGTTACTAGCTTATTTATGGAATTACAGGTTCTAATTAGAAAATAGTGTTGTGTTTATTAAATATAACTGCCTAGCAGACATTTTCACTAGCAGTAATAATGTTCATAGAGTGTTCAGACCCATTTCTTGTTCTAGAGCTCATTGTACCAAGAGTCCTTGAAATAAGAGATCTGCATACATTTTTTTTTTGTTTACTTTTAGGAGAACATTGATTGATCTGAACCTAGACTATGGTTAATTTAGAAATGCTCTTATGTTTTAATCTGTTATTGATTATTATTGGCTAATAATTTTATATGAGGAGGGAAAAACAGTTGAACCTTTTTCAGACTGAGGTTCTTTTGAGTACATTTGGGTCATTTTGAATGTCACTGCTCATTGGTCCTTTAGAGAGGTATAAAGGGTTGGAGATTTGATAAATGATATTGTTCCCCAGGTTACACCTAAAAATACTTTCTTCTAACCAAGACCCTCATAGAAGTTTTTTTCTAATCATTTGCTTCGTCTGGATGAGTAGATAGATGGATAGAGAAAATCCTTACTTAAAGGCAAATAATTACTATAATTATTGTTATCATTTCCTAATTAATCAAAGTTTTGGAACTTGAACCATAGTTAGACATTGATATTGCTGCTTTATATTCTGTGTTATTCATCAGATTACATTTTCCACACGTTACTCTGTAAAAAAAAAAAAAAACATTTCTGGTTACTCATGAAAAGCAGCAAGACCAAAATCGTTCAGAATTACTAAAGAGTTTATCATGGAGAATTTTTTTTTTTAAGATTTTATTTATTTATTTGTCAGAGAGAGAGAGCACAAGCAAGGGGAGTGGCAGGCAGAGGGAGAAGCAGGCTCCCTGCTGAGCAAGGAGCCAGATGTGGGACTTGATCCCGGACCCCGGGACCTTGATCTGAGCTCAAGGCAGACACTTAACTGACTGAGCCACCCAGGCGTCCCTATCATGGAGAATATTAAAAACAAAAAGGCATTTGGAACTTTTCATGGTTCTAGATTTAGGTGACTAGTGTTGGATTTTTGTTGTGTTTGTTTTATTCTTTGTGTCACTCATATAGGAATTTCTTTAATGCATTTTTCTCCTGCACCATGCACATTGAGAGTAATAGATGTCCAGGTACCAAGCACTTAATCTCCTTTACCCATCCAGAAATCTCATTACTTCAGGATGGGTTCTGCCTGCTTGCAGATCCCTATACAGCTTCGCCTACTATCCCTTTGCACTGCTTAAGGCTCTTTAATCCTCTCAACCTGCTTGCAGAGTTAACCAGTTAAGGCTGAAACTGGCAGGTAAACTAAGAGTACCTCCCTCCCTGTAGGCTTGCCTCAGACATCTTGCTCCTGCCTACATGGTACATTTTTAGATGAGTTCATTGTCAGAGAACTTCAGTCACATTTTTTAACATAAAGGCCAAAGTTTAAGTCAAATAGAGTTGGAAAACTAATTCACTAACACTGTTATAATTATCATGGAAAGGCATTTGTGAAGTACAAGATTTTGTAATAAGCAACGGGATGCCATTTTGTGATTTTCCTTCCCCCCAGGAAGTTTCATGAAAAGTTAGTTAAATATATAATCTCAAGAATATCTCTTTAGTTTCAGAGATAATTCTTCTGAAGGTACTTTTTAAAACTTACTTAATTCTGATAAGCCGTTTTTAAATTTTAGGGATATCCCTGTGGATTTCAAGTATATAGCAGAGCCCAGTATGCACTCCATGCCTGCGGTGACTTTGTCTCCAAATGGTGAGTAAGTAGGTAGAATGTGGTTTTAAATGAGCCTCTAAGACAAGAGTGTGATTTCCGTATTCAAAAGAACTTTGGCCTTTTCCTCCTAGGGGAAGTCCGTCATGGCCATACTTGTATAAGGAAACCTTTTCAATATTAGAAATAGTCACTGGTTTTCCTCTGTGAGTCACCTCACCTATTCTCCTGTTTTTAAAAATAATAATAATAATAATCAGTGGATTGCAGCTCACATTGACAGAACATCTAAGGATTTCCATCTGAGGATCAAGTTTTTTTTTAAAGAATTCTCCTTCCAACAGATTCATGTTCAGTCATTTAGTGATTTATTGTGAGCTCTTTTTCTTTCAGAGGAGAGAAATTTTGATCTGGTTCCCCATAATAAGAATACTTTAGCAATTTACTCTAAAAGATTTTCTCAGGCAAAATAAAAAAAAATCCATCTACTACTGTTTTCTGTTCAAAAGTGCATTGCCTACAAATTACAAAGTAATTTGTACTACAGATATCCTGACAGTATACTGATAGAATTATAGCTCTGCATGAGGGTATTAGAGTAGAGGGGCTGATGTTTGGGCAACACTGTCATCAAAGCCCCTGTTAACTCCCATAGCTCCTGTGAGTGTGGAGCAAGGAAGAGGAGGCAAGAAATAGTTTGCTCTTCCATCAAGGCATCTGCCACCGGCAAATCAGTGATCCATTTTTGTCAAGTACCCTATGATTTTTATGAGAAGAGCAACCTAACTGGGTCCTATTTTGATAATGACTGCATTGTATATTGTCACATTTGTCTCTCTGTATCTACACTTTATGTGGTATATTTTTACACTACCCATTACAAATATTGTGCCCATCTTGAACAAGGCTATTTACCCTCTCAGACTGAATATTGTTAAGAGCATTCCCTTAGTTAATAATGTCTACATCGGATGCAAGAAGATACTACAGTTCAGGCTCTAGAGACTTGGATGAATCTCGGTTAGATAAAAGCAGTTTGGCCTTTCAGTAACAGTTCTGATAATTTTTTTAATTGCATCTTTTTGTATGGTTTTATTTAATAATCCTAGGTTTTCTCACCTAGTGTTAATCTTTCCTTTTTCCATAATTAACATAGATAAGTCTCTTTTCCCCAATGGTTCTCTTGTCTGTACTTACTCCAAATTAATTTCATTTCATAAAATTTTACTTTAGTTCTGTTAATGCTAAACTCAGAATTTCTGTATATCCTTATTTAAACAAAAAAAGCTTTTATATGAAGAGTGCTCAATGATATGGGATTATTTGAGCAAAATCCATTACTTCTTTATATATAAATCCCTCTTGTCAGTGACAGATTTGTAACACTTTACAAATGGTATGGTAAATTCATTTTCCTATTATTATAAAGTAATTGGGACAAAAGAATATTAATGTCTGAACATATTTAAAATAAACAGTCATTTTAGAATTTTCAGTCTTGCTCTAATATGTCTCCTTTATTGAATTTACAGGGAAATGGCTAGCATGTCAATCAATGGACAACCAAATCTTAATTTTTGGAGCACAGAACAGATTTAGATTGAATAAGAAAAAAATTTTTAAGGGCCATATGGTCGCGGGTTATGCTTGTCAGGTGGACTTTTCACCAGACATGAGGTAAGTTTAAATCTTCTCTTGTGTTCTCCTATTCAAGTGTGACATAAACTAATGTCATACAAATAATAACACTTTAAAAAAATCACTGTCACATATGTAATCTCATGATAACTGTGCAGATTGTCACAGTGCCTGATGGAAAGACAAGAATAAGTTATGAAAACTACATTTGACTTTAAGTTCTTCAGTGGGTCTCTTTATCTTGCTTCGTCCTGTGCCCTTTTTTTTTTTTTTAAAGATTTTATTTATTTGAGAGAGAGAATGAGAGACAGAGAGCACGAGAGGGAAGAGGGTCAGAGGGAGAAGCAGACTCCCTGCTGAGCAGGGAGCCCGATGTGGGACTCGATCCCGGGACTTCGGGATCATGACCTGAGCCGAAGGCAGTCGCTTAACCAACTGAGCCACCCAGGCGCGCCCCGTCCTTTGCCCTTTAACCACATCATAAGTTCCTGTCTATATGGGCTATGCCTTATTTTCTCTCTGCTTTTCTCACAATGCTTGGAGGACTGTAATCACTATATGGCTGTGATTAAACACTGGCAGAATTAATTCTGTATTGCAGTGTTGACATTAACAACTTCACTGCAGCTTTTCTGTGGTGAGACCTCAAATCCAGCTCTTGACTCTTTCTAGACTGCACTGTATTCGTGAAGCCCTATAGATAGAGTCTCTCTGTGAGGGAAACTCTGCATTCATTCCCCCATTCTTAGCTAAAATATGTAGGTAGAAGTAATCCAGAAATCTCTGTAACCTTGTATGTTTAGGCTGGGATTTGTACCTTAGACTCCTACGAGTCAGTCTTAGACAATTTCAAAAGATGTTGAAACCAAAAAATAATTATGAAGGTGGTCGAGTCTGACTACAGTAGAATGGGTGTTCCCAGGCTCTGTGTGAGGCTGGTTCCCATACGCTGTTTCTGACTGTCTAAGGAGTGACTTGTTACTGCTTTTATTGTGGCCCCTGGGTTTCCCAACCTTTCTGGTTAATACATTATTTTTACTCATAGATTGGTAGCTCAGTGGGGAGATTTTTTTGGTAGAAGTTTAAATTATAGACTGCTTTATGCTCTACCTTGTTATTCTCACTGAGTATTGTATATTCACATTGACTTTTTTGTTGCTGTTACTGTGAAAAAGATAAAACTCTCTGTTCCTTATACACTTTGTCAGTTTAAGGTGTTTGAACAATTTGAATTTATTTCTCTTCCCATTCTAGCTATGTGATTTCAGGAGATGGAAATGGAAAATTGAACATCTGGGACTGGAAGACCACAAAACTCTATAGTCGATTTAAAGCTCATGATAAAGTGTGTATAGGTGCAGTGTGGCATCCTCATGAAACATCTAAAGTCATAACATGTGGTTGGGATGGTCTCATTAAATTGTGGGATTAATGAGATTAATCCTTATCTAGGCTCATTTTTTGATCCAATTTCATATTTAACTATATTTAATTATTAAATGTGTTGGACGACAACTCGATTTACAAATTATGATTTCCTTACATGGCCTTATGAAGTTGACCCATTGTTTAAAAATATTTTTTTTTTGTAAATTTGGCTCATATAATTTCATTGGCAACTTCATTTTGTTCTTTATAGATGTTATTTATACAGAGAATGACCATTGACTTTCTATGTGGTGAGTAGTTGTTGGCAGGCAGTTTGGGTTTACCCCCCTTGACATACTGAAAGGATCTCTTTGGAGCTGAGGAAGAATCCCTGGTTGATTTGGTGTTTTAAAGGAGGTAATACAATTAATGACAAATAATTCTGAAAGGCACCGTGTTTACCTCTTCAACAAAAAGGGAGGTAAGGAACAGAGACGATGTTATTTAATGTGAATCTGAAAGAAGGTAAAACCACCCACAATTACTGTTCCCATTATTTTTGGTTGGTCAAGTTCAGATCTTTTGGATTCAAGAGTTCTATTTTTTATGACATATATTGTATGTTTACTTGTAAGCCAGCAATCTTCTCTGACTGCAGCATTCCTCTAACTATTAAACAATGGAAAATAAACAGTCCAGAGTTTTTTCCTTGGCTTTCTTCCCAATCAGTATAGATAGGACTATATATAAGCAGAGAATTATGTTATTTTTGAAGGTGAAACTCAAGAGAATTGAGTCAAGACTTTGAGTTTTATTTGTATTTACTATATGTAAGGACCTGGCTACACTTCCAGAAATCAGGGTCTCCTAGGTCATCGATTCACAGATGTTACTACTGAAATACTCCTCATAGGAGCTAGGGTATAAGGGCATCATCCAAAATGTCAACTTGTAATTTCTTTGAAGTGGTATGTTTTATCTTTAAAATTACTCTGATTTTGCTTATGAATATATGCAACAGAACTTTTTAAAGATTAGAAAAATTTTTAACTTCTTTCCAAATCTTTGAATAAAATTGACACTCCAGAAAGATGGCTATGGTTCCCCTGTTTGAGAAGCAATAACTGGTTGGTTTAAAAAAAAAAAAAAGTTTAAGAACTTCAGATTGTGAAATCAAGATAGTAGCTAATAGCACTTTGGTTGACAAGCCGTTTCTCCTGTTTTATTAAAAATCTCTGTAAGATATTTGAAAATTTGAATGTGCTTTGAAATAATTTCAGTACCATGCTTCAAAACATTGGTTCATAAGCTGCTCAGAGTGCCAACTTGGAGAACAAAATCATGTTGAATGTTGATATCCTAAGGGCATTAGCTCTGAGCCCTGGACTGTCAATAGCAATTCATGCTCCTAGTGCTTAGAACTTCCATTTTTAAAAACTAATTTTTAAAAAGGCCTGGTCTAGATGACCTGGCACTATGGCCACATATAAATAAATTTCAAAGAAGAAGATAGAAAAAGGGAATTAAAAAATGGTAAGACACATTATTTTGGGGCACACAGACACTCAAAGAAATGAGAATGCACTGCCTGGCTGCTACCTTTCTGTATCTGCCAGCAAGAGAAGCTGCACTTCCTGAAGAGGGAGGAGGAGTTCACAGAATACCTTTTCTTTAGTCCCAAACCACTGGTTTTAACAAATGTGAATGATTGAAATGTAATGGGACAGAAAGAATTAATCATACATTTAAACTATCTCATTCAGCATCAGTATTGTATATGTTACAAATCATAATTTCTAAATCTGGTTTTATTTTATTGTGTTTTTGACTGTTTCTAAACTAAGTAACTGTACATAAAAGTTGTCTCTTTTTTTAAAAAAGATCATATTTTTAAATAAAGCATTTTTTCTATAAAGTGTTATCATAATTTTTATTCTTAGTCTTAAGTCTTAACTGTTGAGACAACATATTAAACCATCTGCAGATTTTAAATGGGTCATTTTTATTTTATGGGGAGAAATGATGCTTTAGAGGTGGGGATGAGATATTAATATGGTATGTTAATGGGTTTGTTCTAGTTACCTAACAAAAATACAGGGCATTGCGCTGAGAGCACACAGATTAAGTCTAACACATTCCGTATTTGTTCACTTAGTGGTGGCACTGAGTTAGGACTGCACCCATTTCAGAGTACACAGATGAGTGGGGTTCTTTTCCAGCTTAAAAAAGTTTCAAGATCATGTTGTTACTGGAATTAAGTGGTTACCTTCTGGCCCCTTTTCCCCACTGCAACCTTCTTATCACACCCAGGACAGATTTCCTTCCTAAGGTTAGAATAAAAGTGATGCTTTACTGAAAGTTTTAATCAAGTGAATATTTAAATATTGAAGCACAAACTGGGAATATTTTGTCCTTATAAGGAGACAGTTTTAAGATGAAGAACAGGGAATAGCATCAAACAGGCACTTCTCTTAAGTAAAAAAGTATAGAGTGATACTTGACGATGTATCATGAGGCTGGTCGATGTCCTTATTAGCATGTTTATAAATTACCAGAAGGAAAACAATGACAGTGAAATACTAAACTCTTGAATGACAGCCGTAAGGACTGCAGCACTAGTAAAGATAGAAGGCTTTCCTTGAAGAATGGTATTCCTCGGCACAGACTGAGAGCCATCTGCATCAGAATCACCCAGAGATTGTGTTGCTCACTGAGATACAGGAGAGGAGAAAACGGAGTTAGTTGGAGGAGCCATAACGAATTCAGGTATGGGGAAGGCACGTGCGAAGGGCCATCCAGGTCCACGTATCCAGCAGCAGTATTCAATTTGGGTCTCAAGGTGAGACTTAGGGAACGCCGATGGTGTGTGCCATCAAAGATGCATGTTTTCCACGTTTTGACATCTCTGAAATTAGGGCTATGTCTTAAAGTCAGTGATGTGTCATGGTTTAATTGGCAGCATTCTCTCTTAGTGGATCATACATTAATCAATGAAATATAGTAGAAATAAGGCAAGTGCTAAGGGACCCATGAAGGAGAAGAGAGGATCCAATAGAAAGAAGGTTCTCACAGCACGTGGCTCAAATTCATGAGAGCCCATGAATTTTCAGAGAACACCCATGTTCTCAAATGTTCATTTGATCAATGGGTAAGTAAAGTGAATGAATGAACAAAAAATTACAACTGAGAAATACGTAGATATTTATATTGATATATATTTGAATGTATATTAATGTGGATATACAAAAATATGTGTATATTCATTCACTGGGTCAAACTCAGCACTTTTAGCAAGATCCCCGGTGGACAGACACACTAGGAATGAGAATCAGTGCAGTAGAGTCTAGCTTGAATATTTCAGAAATGGCACTGTTTAGTCCACATAAGAGAAATTTTGATAACCAGAAATAAATACATGCATGTGTGCATGTATTTACATGCATCTATGTATTATTGTAGGTTTGCGTGTATATATATATATATATATACACACGCATATATGTATGTGAAGATATGTATGTATATACATTTTCTATATTTCTCTGTTCATAATCACTTTATTAATTGTAGAAACAGCTATCTCAACCTAAACACTGCCATTTTATCTGGAACTTAAGGGAAAGGCCGTTGCAACTTGCAGCCAGAGTCCTTAGAGGGGCTCTATTTTTAGTGACAAAGAAAGAGAGAACTCCTTTGCTTGCACACCTTCCTGGAACTGCAATCACAATCTTTAAGGTCTGAGGGACTAACTCAAATCTCAAATATTTTTTAAGTACATGTTCCAGGATAGTGCTAATAGAAAATGTGAGCCATGTGTGTAACCTTTTTTCATGTGTACAATTTTTAACTTTCTAATGGCCACATTAAAAAAAAAACGGGATAGAAATATATCCAAAGTATTATTTCACCATTCAGTTATTTTTTTAAAAGGTCGATTTAGGGATGGCTGGGTGGCTCAGTTGGTTAAGCGTCTGTCTTTGGCTCAGGTCATGATCCCAGGGTCCTGGGATTGAGTCCCACATCAGTCTCCTTGCTCGGTGGAAAACCTGCTTCTCCCTCTGCCTGCCACTCCCCCTGCTTGTACTCTCACGCTTTCTATCTCACTCTCTCTCTGGAAATAAATACAGCATGAGCTGGGGGGGAGGGGCAGAGGGAGAGGGAGAGAGAGAATCTCAAGCAGACTCCCTGCTGAGCACGGAACCTGATGTGGGGCTTGATACCAAGACCCAGAGATCATGACCTGAGCTGAAATTAAGAGTCAGCAGACGCTTAACTGACTGAGCCACCCAGGCGCCCCTCTATTTTTTAAATAAATATTTTACTTTCCTCATACTAAGTCTTTGAAATCTGGTGTATATTTCACACACAACAGCATGTCTCAATTTAGACACTAAATATTCATCAGATATTTTACCTGTTTCACACCAAGTTGATTTACATGCCCAAGTTGCTGCAAGTATATCTGAGTTTTCTAATAACTGAATCAGGTAGAAGTTTTTAAATTTAAGTTACTTAAAATTCAATTCCTCAGTCATATTAGCCACATTCTAAGTGCTCAATAGCAACCTGCAGCTAATGACTGCCATATTACACATAACAGGTCTAGCACCACTTTTTACACCCATAGCTCAAATATTCAACTTTACTGCTTCATCTTCAGACTACTCAAAATACGTTAAGAATATAAATTTTTCTGTGCTACATTTTGGGTAGTTTCCTCAGTTTATCTTCCAGTTTGCTTTGCAGTCTCTTCAGCTGTATCTAATCTGCCACTTAATCCATTAAATCTATTCCAATGACTTTCCCTTTATGAAAGGTCTAGTTATACTTTTTTATATTTACCTGTTCTTCATATATCATTTTCTTAAGGTTTCTATATAGTCTTCTGTGCCTTTTTTTTTTTAGATTTTATTTATTTATTTATTTATTTATTTATTTATTTATTTATTTGATAGAGACAGCGAGAGAGGGAACACAAGCAGGAGGAGTGGGAGAGGGAGAAGCAGGCTTCCTGTGGAGCAGGGAGCCCGATGCGGGGCTCGATCCCAGGACCCTGGGATCATGACCTGAGCCGAAGGCAGATGCCTAACGACTGAGCCACCCAGGCGCCCGTCTTTTATGCCTTTAATCATTTTAAACAATTTATATTAAACTTAAGACTTGTTATGTCAAGTTCTTGGGTTGAAAACCCCAGTGTTTATTGTGTATGTCAACTCTACCTCATGGTGGGTCACTTCCTTGTCAGTTGTAACTTTTTATTAGGAATTCATCTTAAATGCGCTTGTTTTTTCTTCTTTTTTTTTCTTTTTTCTTTTAAAGATTTTATTTATCCATTCATGAGAGACAGAGAGAGAGAGGGGCAGAGGGAGAAGCAGGCTCCCAAGGAGCAGGGAGCCTGATGCGGGACTCGATCCCAGGACCCTGGGAGCATGACCTGAGCCGAAGGCAGACACTTAACCATCTGAGCCACCCAGGCACCCTGTTTTTTCTTTTTTGAAGAAATCCTTTGTAGCCTGAGCTGAAGAGCCCCTTCACAGTCATTTTACATCCGTTTCTGCCATATACCCTTATGTATACTCCCTGTTGTTTAATCTTAATTTCTCAGCTTATAATTGCTTAAAAGGCAAACATAAACTTATCTCCAGCAGAAAACAACAATTATATTTCTCAGCTTATGGTTTTCTTCACCATGAGATTAATATAAATTCAACTCTGTAAACAGGCCAGAGGTTTCAAATTCTCACGGGAAACTTTTAGTTCCTCCCAGAGCTACAGCAAGGATAGGCTTTCTTATGCTGGGGGTGGGGATGAGGGAGGGAGGTTTTTTAGGACTCTTGCATTGAGGTAATGTAGCACTCCCAGGGTCCCACTGTGCAGGTGTCTCCATGCCGATCCTTTCCCCCAGCACAGCCTTATCTCCAGTGCTTTAGGCCTCTAGCACCACTGGTACGCTAAACTCTAGGACTACAGAGTAGGTTCTTGCTCTACCTACCTGTCTGGTTCTAGGCTCCCTCTGAGCTTCGTGTGTCTGAAGATTTTTCTTTTCTTGGGCATTCAGCCATTCATATAAATGTATATGTACATATGTGTGTGTGTTGTGTACACACACACGCTCACACATGCACATACAGAAGGATCACCATAGATATACATACTTAATCTAGTATCTTCAGATGGTGCCACTTTCTTAGGATATTCTGTAAACAGATGTATAAACCAGTACAGTCTGAAACATTCCGGTTTTTAGAACCCTGTGAGTTTAAGGTGTTCTCCAAAGAGGTACTTGGCCTGAGGACACTTCATTTGATTGGGGAGCTATCATCACAGATTTCCTCTTTTATCCGGGCCTTTTCTTCTGAATAAGCACATCATTTGGATTCTTCTGAATTTATCCTAAGGCTTCCCTTTATAGCACACAAATCAAGAAATTACCCTACCACTGTCTAAGCCTTCTTTAATCACAAAAATCTTAGAATAAGGAGATCTTCAAGCAAGAAGAAACCTTAGAAATCAAATATTCCAACCTAAGATAAGCAACTAGGCAAATAAAGGTGATGATTTGCTCGACGCCACACAGCTAGTCAACAGCAGCATCAAAATCTTTCTCCTTTCATCCTACTGTTCTGCCTCCTCCACATAATGCAACTTAGTTGTGTATTTTTTAAACTGTCAGATTTGTGGCATAACCTTTGGGCTTCCAGCCTGCTCTCTCCGAGTTAGGTAGTTCAAAAGAAACACTCAGCTACTGAGACTGTGTTTGTTTCATCCTTTAGTAAAACAGAACCTAGCAAAAGACATTCTTTTGGCCTCTTTTGTTAGAGTTGGGTCCCATAACTGTGCCCGCAGGAATGTTGTTTGTTTTAAGAAGCATTAGCTGATTTTTGGTTTTTTTTTTTTCAAAGATTTATTTATTTGAGAGAGAGAATCTCAAGCAGACCGTGCTGAGCGGGGAGTCCGTCACGGGGCTCGATCCCATGACCCTGAGATCACAACCCTAGCTGAAACCAAGAGTCCGATGCTCAACCAACTGTGCCACCCAGATGCCCCACAAAGCATTAATTTTAATTAAACTAGCATTTCTCCATATAGTGTTAAACATAAAGTGTGACATTAAGTTTGCCTGATTTATTTTCCTTAAGGACAGAAATATAATTATCTAAAGAATTTCAATATTTTGTAAATTTAGGCAGTTTAAGAATACACTGAATCTTTGGGTTATGATTTCATGTGATAACTAAAGTTCAAATACCTCTTTCAATAAGAAAAAGACATTTTTACCTTAACTTAAATGTGTTTCTGAACTCACAAAGAAGCAGCTATTGGCTAATACAAAAAGAATTGTTATTGCTTAAAAGGCAAACATAAACTTATCTCCAGCAGAAAAGAACAATTATATTAATTGAGCCTGGAGGTACTGTTGTATTGTCAAGAATAATAATCTGTTTTAACAAGGGCTTCACTTTTAATCTGACAAAATGTGATGATGAGGCTGGCTCCCTGGTATTAATCCAAGCTTTGCAAAAACCAAATATGTAATACTTAGGAAATACAAATCTTGTACTGTGTTTACTATATTCTAAAATCGTATAGCCAAGGCAGAAATGGCTTACATGAATAATTAATTTGGACTAAACACTGTAAACTCATGAATTTACTTTTGTTCTACCCTAATACAGATCAGTGGTCCTTCAGAGAATTCTAACAGACGTTTGTTTACTTCTTCCTGACTTTCTTCATTTTAACATATCAAATAGTTACAAATATTTATATGATAACCTGTTATAGCTGCAACAAATACAATCACTCTAAGAGAAGGGGAAAGGGAAATATTTTTTCTTTGTGACACAGTTTGTGTGAAATTCTTACGTATGTCTTATATGTCTTTCACCTAAACAAGGTTTTTTTGAGCATTGCTCTGGTAAGATGAGGCCCATGTATCTGCAGGTCAAAGACTACTTGGAAAACAAAGGAAACACTCCATTTCCAAGTGACTGTGCCCTTTCTAAAACCTAAGAGGAAAGTGCCACATAGTGGGACAAGCCAGGGCCAAGAGCTGCTTCCAGGCCTTGCAAGAGCTTTTCTGGCAACCTGAAATATTGACAGAGAAGTCGCTGGGTCCCCCTCTTCTTGCAGGAAGTCTCCATTTGGCAGGCATATTTTAATTAAACGGATTTTTTTTTAAGATTTTATTTATTTGACAGAGGGAGACACAGTGAGAGAGGGAACACAAGCAGGGGGAGTGGGAGAGGGAGAAGCAGGCTTCCTGCTGAGCAGGGAGCCCAACGCGGGGCTGGAGCCCAACGCGGGGCTGGAGCCCAACGCGGGGCTCGATTCCAGGACCCTGGGATCATGACCTGAACCGGAGGCAGACGCTTAACAACTGAGCCACCCAGGCACCCCTTAAATAGATTATTTAAACTCAACCTGCATGCTACAAAAATGTCCCAACTCTAACTGATTTGCAGGTCTGATGTTAGTATATTTGTAGTTTCCGCCACCCCCACCCCCCCCCTTTACTAATAAGGAAGCAAAAATACGTCCTTTGGGAGTGGCATCTTACATCTGTTAGAAGCTATTGAGGCAGCACTGTGGAGGGAAGGGGACCAGCACAGGCTTTGGATCTGAAAGATCGGAGAGGTGGATTCCTACTCTACCATCTATTAGTGGCATCATCTGAATAAGCTATTTAACCTCCCAGAGTTTCCTCACTTGTATAATCAGGAAAACTCCACTTCCGTATGGAGTTCCTGGGAGAATGAGGAACCATCTCTGCCCAGTGCTGGGCACAAAGGATGCTCTCAATAGCAGCTCTTGACTTTGCCTCTTCCCTGTGTTCTGTGTGTGTTGCTCTTGTGGGGGTTACAGTGGTGGTGGTTCTTGTTTTGCCTTCATAAGCAGGATCTTCCCAGATGGCAGTGCGTGGTACCCCAGACCCTTGCTCGTGGCCTGCCAGTTCTCCACGGGGGATGGCTTTGCCCCCGAGGGGACATTTGACACTGTCTGCAGATGTCTCTGGTTGTCACAGCTGAGTGGGGGAGAGGGAGAGGTGCTCCTGGAATCTAGTGGAGAGAGCCAGGGATGCTGCTAAACATTCTACAAGGCACAGAACAGCCTTCCCTCCCCCAACAAGTAATTATCCAGCCCAAAATGGCAATCTGTGCTGAGGTTAAGACACCCCAGCCTACACAATAAGCATAATAAATTTCAGAGGCAGGGAAACCATAGCAACAGTCAGGATATTCATCATAAATTTCAAACTATCCATGAAGGGAATGAAGGACAGTCTTAGAAATAAGCATAAAATAAGTACAAAAAACTATTGAACAAGCTGCCTTGTAGGTGGGTGTGGGTGTGTGGGTTTGTGATTTATTTTGAGTTTGTCGTTTTTTTAACAGTACAGCCATTCTTGCTTCAGATAATATATATATATATATATATATATATATATATATATATATATATACACACACATATAGTGTGTGTGTGTGTGTGTGTGTGTGTGTGTGTATGTGTGATGAAGTCAATGTTCTGCACCACCAATCTGGAATAAATGGGGACTTGCCCTGTACAAAAGGGGCTTTCAGTGATTCCATCAATCTTCAATCCCCTGAATTGAAAGTCTTAACATGGGTGTGTGCGTACCTAAAGTCTGAACAGACTGGACACATAAGACTAGAACACTTCATACTTTGGTGTACAAGAAGGTTTACAAGGTTTAATGGATAAAAAGGTTTATTGTATATACTTCAGTGTATAAAATTTTGATTAAAAAAATAAAAGAGAGAATCTGTGATATAATCCAAGCAGGAACCAGACTAAAGTTAACTTTGTTTTGAAGGCAATACCACGCACACTAAGCATTAAACCACTTCAGAGTTTTTCATGGACCCCTTGTGCTTTTGAGATACCTGTGGACATGGAGAGCAATTTAGCCGCTACTTTTTAACCGATTCAAGCTGGTTCTCCCACCTCAATGACTTTTACTAGTGTACTATGTGTTTTAAAGTAAAAAGCTTATTTGTATTTTTAAAAATTCAGAAAGTCTTGTTCCCTTTTGAACTGAAGTGAGTAAGATCATCTAACTCTACTATATTTTGGTTTCTCACTTGAGGGCATGGTATTTTCAAACCACTGCAAGAAACAAAAAGCCAACCCAGGGAACATCTGGGGTAGAAGGAGGTAAAAAACGGGAAGAAGGGATAAAGTCTAGTAGCAACCAGCATTCTACTCTCTCCCCAAATTTCTTGAACAAACAATGGATATATAGTTTTCCTGCTCTCTCTCATGATGTAAAAAATGCCAGAAAATATACTTAATTTATAATAAGGTAATAATTTGGTTTGTTTTTATGCTATTCAATTGACTTATTTGAAATAGAATTTTTGAAAATCATTCATGGGGGGTGAATGTCTGATCCCGTAAATGAAAATGATGGAGATCATTTGAAGTACTGAGAACCTACATTTTCTGTTTAATTTTTAAAAATACGGAAAGGATTGGTGTTACTGAAACACTATGTAAGCATCCCAGGAAAGAGACAGACTTTGACTCTCAGGCCACGGTCTTCTAACAATGCCAACTGGCAGTAGAGAAAAACTCACTTAATCTTTGACATAATGTATTAAAAAAAAAAAAATTTTGACAGCATAGGCAAGGCTGTGGTTGGGAAATCAGGTCTGAAGTCAGTGGAGGCAACAGCAAAGACACCCAAATTCTGCTTTGTGCTTAGTTTCACAGGAACGAAAGGGGATTTAAGGCTGAGTCTGAAAAGAATCCTGAGTTGAAGTTCTAGATAGTCTAGTCTTTTAAGCTCAGTAACAGAATTTGGTGTGTCTGAGTCCCCAGAAACCAGAATCAGGGGTGCTTATAAAGCCACAGCATAGCCTCAGCAAAGGCTGAGGAGGAATGAGTGAAACCTACAAGGTCCTAAAGAATGTCATTGACCAGGTGAACAAGAAAAACCCTGAAAGAAGGTAGTGAAAGTCAAAGGAAAGGCCCTCTTTTAAACGGTAACTTACAAACTTAAGAATCTCATCAACTCAGTAAAAATGGAAATGTTAGGTAATTTCTTCCTCATGTTGGTGAATTCATGGATTTTAGATACATAATGAACCTTAGGGAACACAGATAAGTAGAGGGTTATCTTCCCGGTTAAAACGAAGAAGGACAAGCATCCCCGCTCTGTTGGAGGCAAACGGGAGAAAGGCCCAGGCTTTGGGCAGATGGAGATGCACTCCTGTGGCACTCTGGTGTCCATCCCATCCACAGGTCTTAACTATGTGCCTACCACAGGGCAGGTGCCAGGCTACGTGCACTACAAAGGCAATAACACGACCCCCGCCTGGAGCAGCTAACAGGCTGGTGGGAGGAGACTGGCCAAGGACACGCCTCATTCTGCAATTATTTCCTGGAGTTCTCCATGAGGTCCTGCACCCTAGGTCCATCTTGTATTCACCCAACTCAGAGTATAACAGCTACTTGCATTGAAAATGTCTTTCTTCAGGAACAGCTGGGGTTTAGACAAGTCTTTGTAACTATGAAAAAGCCTGAAACCCTTTAGTTCTAACTCTTTGAGGAGGCTGTACCAGAATCGCACGACACTGCTATCCCCACCACTGACCTCAAACCCGGGCCAGTGCAGATGGATCTCAAAGGTGAGCTGCCCGATTTGTTCCAGGACATCTTCCAGAATAAGATTTTCTAAAACTTTCCATTCTGCACTCTCCAAATCTGCTTTGAGAACATCAATCTGTAACAAAACGATGAAATGAGATCAGCAGATTCAATAAACGTTGTTAAAAATACCATCTTGACCTCAGGCGCACTGCTGTATAACTAATGACCTCCTACAAAAGCAGAATGTTTCAAATTTTAGAGTTAGAGGTCTTTTTCAACGGCCACTAATGACATGAGTTTCCTCATCTCACTCCACGCCAAATGTTAGTATACGAAGAATGAAATGCCAGTCGGAAATCATAAAGGACACTCCTACTTTCTGCCCAGTGGGGACGGATGCCTGAGAAGGAGACGCTGGAGCGTATGTTTCACGGAGCTGCGTGCCCCCAGCCTCTCCCCGACAACCCAGACTCTGCTCGCAGGAACCCAGCCATGTCAGGACAGCATGGTGGCCCATGGGGAGGCACAGACAAAGGGCCACCGTCTGCTGGGACCGCCTCACAAACCTCAGCCCCCTCCAGTTTCTCAGGACTGGAAGCCAGGGAGAGTTCTCAGGTATCTGAATATTAGACTAGTAAAAAAAAAAAAAAAATTATTATCCCATGATTTCTTTTAACACCATACACCAGCACAGCATCCTAAAGAGGGGGAAAAAGGCAACACCATTCTCTCTTCGTTTAATGAACCTAAGTTCACACTCTAGGTAAGATGAAATACGGGGAGAAGAGGAGGATAGGAGAGATTTTGCAATTAATTAAATTATGAGAATCAGCTCATTTTTGCTGGCTTTGCTATTAGAATAACAGAAGCCCAAAGGCCTCCAGAAAGCAATGAAAGCTAAGTACTGACTGAGCGCTTGTATGCGCCTGGCACCGTACAAGGTGCTTCGCTTGCAATATCCCTTTACTCCTCTCAACAAATCTGCAAGGCTGATTCTGTTGCTATCCCTGTTTGAAGTTTAGGAAACCAGACTCAGTAACCTATCCCCAGTCACACAGCTGGAGAGGCAGTGGTGACATGTGAACTGAGTATGTCCACATGGCCCATGTTCTTACCCACTACATGATGCTGACTCCCCATAAACCACAAGCGGAAAAAGGGTAACTCAGATTCCCTAAAAGGCTTTTGGTTTAGAAAATAAAGTGCCATTAGAGAGTGAATAAGGGCCCGTGAGTAGAAGTCTTGTTATCAATATCCCCAGTTTCCATTTGCAGAGCAGTTTACAGCTTAAAGAATTACTTTCTACATACATCATCTCAGTGAAACAGCCCTATATGCAGACGAGGCCTTGGTAAAAACGACTTTGGGCTGCCAGCATTGCTCGTGTGATTTCAGAGTTGGGTGAAGGAGAAGATGGATAGGATTTAGACATAACTTCTCCAGGAAAATGGTCCTTGCCCAGTACCCTCACATCCCAAGGGAGATGCCCTCTTTCACCATCTTGCCTTGGACAGTAAGTAGCACCTCATGGTCCACCAGGGAAAGAGTGATGGCAACACCCCAAGAATACCAAGAGGCCTCAGAATCATCTAGATATCTGTAAACCAGCCTTTCCAAACTCAAAGAGAAAAGGTAAAAGGAAAAACAAAACAAAAAACTTCCTTTTCTGAAAGGAACCAAAGGCAGATTCTATGCAAACGTGCACAAGGCACAAGGCTAAGATAATTCTTGTCAACTGGACACAAAAGAATTAACTCACTTTTTTTCATCTCTGCGGCCCTGCCACTTTCTTGACTTTGTTTAATCATTGAAATTTTAAGCAGAATATTCTTGAATTGGGGTAATTAAACTGCCAAAAGAAGTATGTATTTAAAAACTTTACAAAATTGGGGGCACCTGGGTGGCTCAGTTGGTTAAGCGTCTGCCTTCGGCTCAGGTCATGATGCCAGGGTCCTGGGATCGAGCCCCGCATGGGGCTCCCTGCTCGGCGGGAAGCCTGCTTCTCCCTCCGTCTGCTAGCAGCTCCCCCTGCTTGTGTTCCCTCTCTCACTGTGTCTCTCTCTGTCAAATGGATAAATAAAATCTTAAAAAAAAAAAAAAACTTTACAAAATTGTCTAATTAGTACAAAAAATAGCCAAAACTCAAAATCAACATTTCATGTCAATTCACATAGTTAAGAATTTTTTAAAATCCTTATAGATGTATTTCTACCATGGTTTTCTGTGAGTTCACATATGCTGAATGTGATCAATACATCAAACTATTAAGGGACAGGGCAAAGTTAATCAGCCTGCAACTGACCTAAAAACTACACTGGTGAAGATAGAGGAATATATGCTTCATTTTTTTCCAAACATATTTTTAAAATAAGCTATCAATCAGAAGTTATGAGCAACAGAAAAAAAACAAATTAGGATAAATCATAGCAAATATACGCTTACTGCGAAAATCCAATTTCACTTAACAAAATGCTGTCCTATCAAAAGAGCAGAAAGTACTCTCAAATACGACCACATTGCCAACCCCTTTTGATTCCAATGACTGGAAATTCTCCACTTCAATCAGAATTGAGTAGGTTGATCTAAATCACACGGCCAAGGATGGCGCAGGACCGAGGAGCTCATAAACTTCTTCCCTGACTTCCAGCCTGAAAACACAACCAGCCAAATGCTGTGAATAAAACATGGGTTTCTTTCCCTCTGTGCTTTTTCCATTTTTTGTATTTCAGAATGTTCTCTCACCACAACTATTCTGCAAATGTAATTTCCATTATTACTGCATAATGCATCCAATATTATTGTTTGTATAAGGCACTGAACATTTCTGCATCAGGTACACCTCTTTTAAGACTCCAACATCAGCTTTCAACAATCATGGCCCTAAAAATCATTACAAAAAATGATTACATCGGAATAATCAAGGGCCAGTCCGAATCCAGTCAGGTTAAGTCAGGTTTCTTGAGAAAAACAAGGTGTTAACTCTGTGTAAACTCTGCAATAACGAAAGACATATTCTTGGGTGGAAGGGTCTCGAAGAAGGTCGATCAAACAACGTATCTGCTACAATTTCAGAGGCATTAAAAAGGTCCTCCTATCAAAAAGTATCTCCTTTCCCTTGTGCCTGAAATACCCAATAAATCGCCCTTCCCAGAACTTTTTGAGGAAATGAGAATTTTTAATTTTAACTGGATTAAGGTGTGAGGCCGTTTGGCAGCCCCCACATCATGGACACAAGCTTCTGTCTGCATTCAGCCACCTGGAACTGCAGAGATGGGAAAAAGTAGGCAAAGGGGCACTGGCCTTTGTACTAGTTTGCTAGGGCTGCTATTAAAAAGTACCACAAATTGTGGGGCTTCAGCAACAGTAATGTACTGTCTCATAGCTCTGGAGGCTACACGTCTGACATCGAGGTGTCCAACAGCATTGGTTCCCCTGAGAGCTACACCGGAGACTTGGTTCTGTGCCTCTCTCCTAGCTCCTGCTGTTCTGCATTACTCTGATCTATTTCTTCATCTACAGGTTGCCTGTGCCCAAATTTCCCCTCTTTATAAGGACACCAGTCATATTGGATTAGGCGCCCAGCCTACACCAGTATAACTTACTTTATTTATGTATTTATTTGTTTATTTATTTATGTTTAGAGACAGGCAGAGGGAGAGGGAGAAGCAGGCTCCCCGCTGAGCAGGGAGCCCGATGCGGGGCTCAATCCCAGGACTCCGGGATCATGACCTGAGCCGAAGGCAGATGCTTAACCGACAGACTGAGCCACCCAGGCGCCCCATTATGACCTCACTTAAGCTAATTACATCTGCAGTGACCCTACTTCCAATGAAGTTCATATTCTGAAGTACTAGGGGTTAGGACTTGAACATAGGAATTTGGGGTGCACACAATTCCAGCTACAACAGTGTGTGAGGTAGCTATCCCTGTAGGAGCTTTGGCAAGGCAGTATGTGTTCTGGAGCCAATTTCCCAGCCAGTGCCTGGGGAAAGTGTCCTGTACCAGAGATCCAAGGGCCAGTGACTCTCTGAGGCAATTGTGGATGCTGTCTCGCCAGTCCCTACATCAGGCAGCCCTGACAGCTCCAACTTCGCAATATCCACGGCAGGTCAACAGGGCTCCATGGCCAATTAAAACCACCATCATAAAAGCCCTGTGCTTCGTTCCCTGGTTCCTTCCCGGCCACAGAGGCAGGCCCCAGCAGGTGCACTTTGTCTCTGGCACCGCCCCCCAATTCCCTAGCCGTTTCCCTCTCCCTCCTGGAACTCAGCAGGCACTCAACACCCTCATGCTTGCAGCTCCCCACCTGAGCCTTTTCCCTTTCAAGGGGACTCTGCAGTGGGCTAGGCAGATTGCACCGCGCACTGCAGCACCTTTAAAGGACTGGGCCTGGGACTCACCAGCACCACTTCCACTGCATTCTACTGGGCAAAGCAAATCACAAGGCCAGCCCAGATTCAAGGTGAGGTGAAACAGATTCCAGCCCTTGAGGGGAAGAGTGGCATACACAGAAAGGAAGAGACAAACTGTTCATGGTCATGGTTGCAAATAATTGACCCCGGTGATTAAAAGCGATATTCAAATTTATATACAAATCCATGAATGAGCCATAGTATTAGGTTAGAAGTGAACCTTTGCTGTACACAAGCAACACTCCAGGAAAAATAAATCACAAAGCCCTTATTCATCAGAATATTATTAAAGAAGGGACACTAAATAAAACATGGCATTTACTATTAGATCTGGCTTTCCTCGGACGTTGACAAAGAACCTGGGATAGTCAATGGGTTAAGGATGACTAATAAAGAAAACACTGAAAAGGACAAGTAAAATAAATACGTGTAAGTCTTAGATATCGTATTAGTGTCCCAGGGTTGCTATAACAGAATGCCACAGACTGGGGCCGGGGTTGGGGGGAGGCTTAAACAACAGATGTATTTTCTCCCAGGTCTAGAGGCTGGAAAGTCCAAGATCAAAGTGTGGGCAATTGTGGTTTCTCCCAAGGCTTCTCCTTGGCTCGCCCACAGCTGCTTCTGCACTGTATCCTCATACAGACTTTCGTCTGTGCTCATGCTTTCTTCCTATCTCTCCATCTTCTTATAGGGGGCGCCTGGGTGGCTTAGTCGTTGGGCG